AAAGCATAGTTTGTCACGTTCTGTAGTAATAGTTATATATACATATAGCGATGAGTACATTCACCGTGCCATTACATTTTCTGGCTATATATGTTTATTGCAAGCGACTTAACGCATGAGAGGGAAAAGTATCGAAAGTTCGTATGCGGCATCTTTTTAGCCGCATCCCTTGCTAGATAATTGTCCCTTATATCTAGCACGTGTAGATTTAAATGTTTTTCTTAAGCAACGTGCAGCTTGACAACTAATAAAGTAAACTATGGGATCGTTATTTAGAAATAAGGAAGCTTTATCACATCTCCTAGGCAATGGAGTATCTCAAAAACGTTTCTAGCTTCTCGTGTGTGCCTATTATTCTGCAAAAACACATGACGAAGAATGCTAAGATAGAGAATATTGGAAACAGATGATGGGTTCGTGGATTTTCATATCGATTTTTTAAATCGCTCTCTTGATGATTCTGGGTGATGCGGCTCATCGTCCCATAAAATACATAAATACGAGCAAATGGAAATATAAACTAGGATCGAATAGCTGCGTAATTGTAGTTAACACAATGAGGCAATACAATAGCGGTCTACCAACTGCGTGCGCTGATCAAGTTGAGGCCTGTGAGCTGCACGATTCTCTAGAGAAATGATTCCAGTGACATTGGCAATGGAAGCGACCACATAGAAGAAATGCTTTATAAAAAAAAAAAATCACTATGGAGCCACCTATCGGACAACGCTGATATTTCGTTTACGAACGAATTACGTTACATTAAAGCTATGATTATATTTTTGTCCAAAATATAATCCTAAAAAATCAGACTGAAAAAACTTTGTTTCGTTGTCGTAGTTAGTAGTGCATGGCTAGAGGCAGGTCATCAAAGCGCTTTCCAGTGTTACAGACTTATGATTTAAGAAAAAAGTAAAGTTGGCGAAACAGCTTATACTCACGATGTTGATGATACCCAAAAAAACGTCAACAATAGCGATTACAAATTGTCCCATGTTTTCAGGCACAAAAATGACGACTATCAGCCATAACGCTAGAAACGATCCATTTTTCGGTATCGGCAAAAACTGCTATGGTATGATTAATGGGGAAGTTTCTAGAGGTGTCTTGTCATTATCAGTGCAGGCAAGAACTGCTTGAATCTATTGATAAGAATCAAATCTATCGAGCAGTGATCGAGACGATAAACCTTACCATCTGGAAAATTAATTTACTTTTTTTGGCAATGATAATCACGTTTGTGCTTGATTTAAAAAGTAAAGCCCAATTTTTTTTTATCACTTGATACGTAACACGTTTATTGAAATTGTAAAAACACGCAACTGTTTATCCTTTCATTATATGATGGCCATTATTGTAGTCCTTAAAGATTCTTCGAGTTAGGCGAATAAAACAGTTCAATGTAAATTCACAGATATTGCAACAAACGATCTCTGACTATCGAAGGCTCAGCAAACGTACTTCTTACGGTTTCTGCTTTTTTTTTTTTTAAGATATTAAAGTAAAAAGTTGAGGTTGGCAGAAAGTTGAAAAGTCTTCCTTACATAAAGACCCATGCAAGTGATAATCCACACATTGACTGAATTGCTCATGCCCACATTAGTTTTGAGTAAGGCTTCAACGTTTTCTCAAAGTTTCATACGTTGCGCTCTTAGTAATTTTAGCTGTTGATGACGCTTGGATGGACGGAATCCTTAAATTAGTTAGATTGCCAAGATTTTGTTTTTAAACTAGCTTAAATACGGTTATAGAAAGATTATATAGAAAGGTTATATAGAGAAAGAAACTTTACAGAAGTAGTTGTATGTGAACAGTCTGAGTATGTCTGGTGTCTAAAGTCAAAGGTTTGCAACTGGGAGTGTTTATAAAATTCTGAGTCATCAAGTGAACTGCTTAATTAATGCATAGGATCTCACTGTGGCAGTAATTATACTCATACAAGTTAGAGTGATTATCATGTAAACCTTGTTGAAGAAATCTCACTTAATTGGTATTCATTGTTTAAGTTTACATACATTATTAATATTATGATTTACATGTGCATTTTACCTCTTCGTTACTGCGCCACATGATGAAGGCACAAGATCAAATGCACGTTGTGAGAATGTACAACCAGTGTTGCGTGCCTTGCACGCACTCTGAATGACATTTCTCAAACCGGTATTAGGCAAACAGTAAAGATATACAAATATATCGATGTAGGTGAATCACGGTCGCCTGAATCTAGCATGATTACGCTTCTGAGGTTTGAAATGCTAAAGGCAATCTATACAATAGATATATGGTCTGGGACACAAATAACGCTAGCCGAGTTGCCAAGGCTAACAGAGCGACTACGTAAAGCAATATGTTGGTCGTCACAACACAGAACTGAATCTTCCAGCTGGAGCAGACCTGATCATGTCTTCAGCGTCACCTGCGTCTGTCATCCTCGTTACTACGTAACTGTTGCCGACATATCGTTATTATATAAACTAGTACAAACCTTTGAGCCGAACATGCGTTCGGCTCGAAGGGATTTTTTCACCAACGAAAGTTATAGATAAGTATCTGTACATGATAAGGCGCACAATGTAGAACGACGTTGACAATATTATAGCAATACAATAAGAAATGCACACTATTCACTGAAAATACGGAGTAACGTGTCCTGAAATTATAGCTTAACAGATTTACCTTATAATTCAGGTAAATAGAATTTTCCATGTCTCGCAGGGTTGCATCAGGCAACTGACGATAAGCTACAGCCTGGCAGCTTTGTATTTGTGGATCCGTCGATGGGATGAATTGTATTTTTGGCACTTTTTATATAATTTGGAGAATAATTTAAATAGTTTTCAGAGATTTACGCTGTACTCGAAAAGTCATGCAATACTACAAAATTCTAGTAGTAAAGATATGAACTACAACGTTGGAGTATTGGGCACGGCCAGAAGAAATATGGCGCGACGTACAAGGTACCCATATTAACCGTAATAGATACTGCAATGCCAAAGCTAAAATTAACTGAATTTCCATTTCAGTACAATAGCCGTCCCGCGTTTAAAACTGCTATTATGATATGCGTTACTTTCTATGCATTCTGTTCGAGTTGAATTGGTTCTAGTTTGGTATAATTTATGGGACTTTGTTAATTCATTTCCATACTGCTATGAACAACCTTTGTGCTGCAGCGTTTTAAACCTCTTCTAGACCTAACATCTACGCCTTGCAAATAACCACTTTTTAGAAATAGTACAATTGCTCAATGATCGACCTTTGCAGGCCCCATGAACAATAGTTACGTTTACTAAAAATCGTCCACCTTTGTAGCAATAATATTTTTCATCTATACGATCAAAAACGCTTTTAAACATATAGATAATATTTTAAAGCTAGTAGAAATATCGACTTCATTCACGAAATGCTTTTGGCCTCAACGGGGTTCAGTAATTACCCTTGGAAGCCGCTTTTCTTTAATATTAATAAGTATGTTCCATTTTGATCGACCAACAGTAGATGAAACAGTATTGTTTCTATAAGATGTAATTATTAAGCATCTACGCCCTTTTAGCTATGGGTCTGATAAGCCTTAAGTGACAGACAAGCACGACAAACGGCCCTTAGCTTGAAAGAGCGATAGTAAGTTACCTTTTTAAAGCAGGTAGGTCACGTTTTTTTTTTTCTTTTTAATGTGTGATTTGGTCATCTCATCGGCTTATCACGAAAGAAGAATACGATGATACTTACACTGTTAAAACATGTACACAGTGAACTTATACGGATGGCATAAATATCTTTAGAATCCTGAGGCGGCAATCGAATCTGGATGCAGATGGATGTAGCCATCCCCCTATTGCGCCAGTTTTGCAATTATATAGCAATGTCGTCTTCAACAGCTTTGGAAAAGACAAAGTCGTAGCGCAAGTTGATCAATAACTCGCACTACTTTAGAGGGCAACCTAAAAAACCTACTAAGTCTATTGCAGTTCTTTTTAAGATAAGAAAGTTTTAAAGCTCTCTTTACTGGAAAAGATCGATCTATCGAGTTTACAATAATGGCATCTAGTACTTTGTATCCAAAGTGCAGTACAGAGTATTCATAAGCTAAAAGAATCCTCTAATAGGTTGATCAGGATCTAATACCTTCATATATGTTATATTTTGTGCACATTTAGATGATCTAGCGTGTAGAAATCATCAAACTATCGTTAGAATCTCGAACTGCTAGTTGAACTTTAGACATATGTTACCTTTTTTTTTTTTTTTTTTTTATCATGGTTTTTGTCCCCAATTTTCGTTTAAAAATACACATTTTTTTTTGTGAAAATTGTGATATGAACCAAAAATTTGATGTCTTAAACTGTTACGAGCAAAGTCGTCATGCCTCAATTAGCATTTGATAGAGCTAAGCATATTGAAACGTCCAACTGATTCAATTTTCTAGCGACGAAGCCTTTGGACTTTCTTATCAATGAGTCTGATACGTCACTTATTATATTTATTTGATGCTGTACAAGAGTAAACACGGAATGTCTTGCTTTAGCCAAACAAATCAGAACAGATTATTCACGAATTCAGCTGAATTACCAATTGGTGAATATCTCGAAGCGAAAAGGAAAAAAAAATACGTGTTAAAGTGTTTACTTTGTTTCTTGTTTTTCATTCTCCTTTATTGATCAGTTGATTCCTGTCAATCTGTATGACATTGAATCTAAAAGAAAACATTTCTATTATCTAGTTGTTCTTAATGTACATCCGTAAGGCACTTGTTTGCACCCTGTCACCATATATTGTCGAGTACCGCTCTAGCACTCAAACCTGATGGAACTTTGCAAAATGTCAGTGTCTGAAACTGTGAACATCCAAAAACTTCTACCTGGAACTCGATCCGTCTACCGATTAGAATACGATAGCTAAAATGATACTGCAAGTTTTCATATGATACCTTACATGTAAGTGGATGTTGTATAAAGCAACTAAAGTTAGACAAATATGTAATATAATTACTTAACACTTACTAAATAGGATGGAGCTGGGTTGGGGCGATAACTGGGCGCACACTTGCACCGACCATAGCACTACTGTCCATAAGGAAAGAATGCTTGCCGAACACAGCCTCAGTGGGATTTCTCTAGGCATATTGGTAACAGGGAAACGAACACGTTAAACATAGAAAAGTTTACAATTTTTCCGTAGAGTTAGGGCACAACGACAACTCTATCCATTAGTACACCTGTGTCAGTTTCCATGTTTTTTACGCACGTATTCATCAACATGAATAAATTTCGCCTGTGGGTATAAATCACAATGAATGTGCCCAGTTACAAACAGTTTTCTACCTGTGAAAATTTCTACGTAGCACTGTCCATCATTATACGTAGGTTACGTTGTGTCTTAATTTTTTTTGCATTGTCAGTCTACTAGTTCTCAAATCATAGGCTATGTGCTACATTCTGAGTTTTTGAACGGCGTCCATACATGAACCCAGAAATAAACAATACTAATTATTCAGGTTAAAATTACCGAAATGCGTATCAGTTCACGTTATTCAGTCTGCTTTCTTCTCTTGCCTACAAATACACATTCTGTTTATAAATGCGGGCATCCTTGCATTGTGGCTTGCATGACCTAGAGGTGCTGAATTGGGAGCGAAGCTATGATTTAAAACAGTTGCAGCACCAGTCGTTCGTTTGTTCGTAAGCACTGCCAACGACAAATTAATGCAAGCAGGCGCGCGGGCTTACTTTTCAAGCTCTTACAGTGGTACCGATGTAATTTGTCGTCATAGCTGTCGTTCCAGCGTTACGGCAGGACACTCCAACGTTGGCTGCTGGTGACGCGCGGATACGGGGGAGCTCTGGTCGAAACTTCCCTTTCCTTCCGGTCTGCTTTGTTCAAACCTTCTGCTGCGCCGATGTTCATAGCGCCAGCTCTCTGCGTGGATCGCTTGCTCTCCTCGACGACGACGTAGGCGTGGACGGTAGTAACAACCGAGAGCTGCCATGGGCCATAGAAACGGTAAGCCTTCTGCACCATGCTGATGGCACAGTGCCTTGCCAAAACTAACGGAGCCCTTTGCTTCATACGGCTGCTGTCACAACGCTCGGTAAAAGATGCCTAATTCAACAGAGAGCAGGTGGATGATTGTCCCACTATATGAATAGATTACGAATCTGTTTATTTGCGATTACTACAATGGTAGTAATCCTAATAGCAGCTAATCTCATTATGGGTGTGTCATTTGTCCGCGAAGAGACGAACTTTCCTACTATAGTAACTGCTATTACGAACGATACTACTATTAGTCGTTATATATTTACCGCCTCTTTTTAATGTGCAAATGTATATGATGTATCGGTATCATGTTGTGTTCAAAATTCTACCTATAATCTTGTAACTCCGTTAAAACATGCTTATGTTGCAACAACGGTTTCCTGCCGGCACGTAAGCACCTTAGTAGAAAATATATATCTGTTTCCTATAGAGAGAGTTTGTAGCTTCTGAAGGTCGTGTTAGGCGCTTTTACGTACGACAATATCACAACGTACACGCTGTAGTCGTTAGCCGAACTGCTCGCGGCAATGTTATTTGGCGTGTCTAACTTACAATAGAGGCAACTTTATGGAGTTAGTTGCCGTTTAAAACGGTCAGGACATACTCTGTATCCTAAGTTTGCTTTATAACAAGCCTTCAATCGTTCTGTGGGTTCCAATGCAAGCCACTTATGATTCACGGATGGCTAGCATATATGATGCTATGTGTACGTCAGAAAGGAGTCACAAAGAGCTCGTCTCAAAACTAGTCATAGATCCTGTAACATATTCCTTCAGAATGACCGACCGAGATACCACTCTAATTCCTCAGCTCGTCGCAGTACGCTTAAAGATTCAACAATCCGCGAGACGCAACACGAATCAAAGTGTGTATAAGGCAGTACAGTAGCTCTAAGATAATAAAATACATTAATGTTTTAAATTAATCTTTGACTTTGTTATCTTGTACAGTATATATATATATATATATATATATACGAAAAACATCAATGCGTATCGCTCAATTAATTATATCAGCTTGTGCGATAATCACTGAGGTCATCGACGATAAATGACCGCTCAGAAACAAACTGAACGCGTTATAAATTAAATGGGTTCTAGCTTCCTTAAGATGCTGAACGGGAAAAGCAACAGCCCATGAAAAAAGGATCAGACCCACAGTTGTCCACCGTGATCTCAGTTTTCCATATCGGCCAGCGTGCACTTTCTGACATCATGTTCAGAAAAACAGGAAACGATCAGAGACATGGGTTTCACGTTAAAACCTCGCTTTTGAACTGTGAAGTACGTTCGTTTCGATCAGATATATCTTCACTGAAAAGTGACAAAACTTCCTGCAAGGGCTTTGTTTTCTACATTTGTTCTTAAATATTTTTTTATGATGTGGTAATTAAAAACATAAAAAGCCAATGTAAGTCATACTCGCGAGCTGGCATTTTGGTTCTTCATCGATACGTAATCATTAGAAGGCGAACTGTAAACCCTTTTCAATATAAGCACGAAACTCGAACTGAAATAGAGCTGATAGCTTTGGAAGCTTGTCCTTTTTTTAATAACAACTTCTGCACGATTTTGCGATTAAGAAAATAGTTATTCCGTAAGGTGCGCAAATGTTTTCTATTTAGATATTTTAATGTCTAATTTCAGTTATCTTAAGGAAAGATATGATTTTTCTGGTTACACTTGTCATCTCCGAAATATGTCACTGCTCCATATAATTTGCCTAATAAGCCTCTTCAAATCAAATATTTATTTTTATTCTGCCAAAAGAGTGCACATACGTTTTCGTATTAATATTATCAAATTTTGCTCACCTTTACCAATAGTTGTCAAGAGCCTAATATATGCAAATCAGTATCATACTACACCAATATCAGACCGAGCATATAAAATCATGAGTCATATAAGTTCATCAAGAGTCATGTAAGTCATTAATTTATATAACGAATTTGAGAGACTTGCCAGATGTCCTAAAGGTTGCACTAGGAGGTAACGAGCGATATGATATCTATTACAATTTTCTTCATATCATATATCGTTGGGCTCTAGTTTTTTGGAAAGTCAATGATGAGACCGATGTACGGCGCAGCGACTGACAACATGTCTATTTGGCTGACTTGGTTTTACACTCGTTGCTCCTCATTGTATCTAAGCTCAGAGCGATAACTTGCGTTCTAGGACAACAGTGGCAAGTCAGCTAGGAGATATGCAAGGCGATTTCGGATCACTATGTGTAGTTCAGTATCCTTTTAAGGCTGAGACGTTTCAACGCGACTTAGTTCTTCGAAGTTCTCCCCTGTAAAACCTCCTTAAATGATGAGTGTCGCATACATTGCTACCAGAGCTACTTACAGGTCGAGCAAGTTGAAAGGGCGAGTGATAAGACGATTTGGTCGTCCTTGCGGCCTGCGTTGCCTTCCTGCATCTTTGGATGCCATACGCAGTGAAACTCGTGCCGTTCGCAAAAAGGGCCACTCTGTGTTGATTCCTATGTTTATATTTATAGGAATATTAACAATACATAAGGATGTTACAGTGTTATGCAGTGCGTTGTTGACGGTATTCTGTGATCGCAATGTAGACTAAAATCGGCTGATATACATTATATGTGGCAGATGAACGCATAAAGAATTCTAGATAAGGAGCTTAGAAGGCTAGCTTGTCCAAAGTATATAGAATTGCTAAAATAAATAAGATATGCCAATAGTGTTAAACTTATATGAAGACCCAATATACCCTCCAAATTGTCTAGCTAGTAATTGAAACGTAGATACACTTATCTCTTGAGTTACGTGTCGTTCTTTGGCATCGACGAACCTGTCGCGTCTAGTCTGGTCGGTTACGCATGCTAAAATTTGCCCACATTTGCCAATCAGAGCCCCTGGAGGGCTTTACTGTGTCGAGCTTATACTACGCAGTGCGATTCTACGTAAAATCGTTCTCTGAACCTTCCCAGCAGTTTCGACGTGTTCTTCTAGGTACTACAGCTAGACTGTCAGTACAGAAATTTAATTTAAACAAAACCAAGTTGAATTAAAAAAGAATAAGGTAAAATTTTGGGCCTTTTATTATATGAAATAACTTAGTAAAATGTAAGACAATAAGATTACAGATCGAACTGAATTAGTAATGTGCATTTTAATATGACAGCGTCACAAGTCATGGCCTCATAAAATCGACGACTGTAAGTCGTGCAGCACTCGCGTTATATAAATGAAAATTATTTTCGCACTGGAATATTTTCCTTTTCTTCATATATATTAGTTGTTGATATTTAATTGTTTGATTAATTTTTCCATGTTATACATATTTAAGCACTATTCAGCTAGCTATGCAATCGGTAGCACAGATGTCGACCGTTGTGGAGGCATCCGTGCCTGTATCTACTGTAAAGAGATTTTTTTAGAATAAGAAATGCACGCTCGAAAAGATCTCTTCGTAAAAGTTAGCTTGACATTTGCTTACCTTTATCAGTTGTACTCGACAATCTTCTATGTATCATGAGCTGTCAGGCCTATGCACAACTCATCGTAAGCAATAAACCTCGGCTGACAAGAATGTGTAGGATAGCGGCCAAACAATCATCAAAACAAAATGCTATAACGTTACATTGGATCCGTTCTACGTACCTTTATATGCAGTGGCTGACCGACATACGCTATACACTGTGGGAATGTACACTAGAGTACGTAGCCTCAAAGGCTTCTTCAGCGTCAGTTTTACAAAATCAACATAGACAAAATGACACTTAGTCCAGTATGTTATGATCTTCCAGGTTATATTTGCGTCAAAACTTAACAATGCTGCATAATTACCTCTTTATTTGCCTATGTGTCACACTGTACGATAATAAATCTAAAAATGACTTGAAAAAAATAAGTGTTCAATACATAACATAAAATCGCGAAACTACCATAGGGTAACAAACCTTTTAAGTTAGTTCTCGCACTGTGGCCATGCCCCCCCCCCAGACAGGCAAAAGTTCGTCGAAGTTGTCTTTGCTAGGTGACGAAACTCAACTTCCAGCGATAAAATTCAATACGTCCTTTGTTTAAGTTGATCAGGGATAGTCCTCCAGAGGGCAACCTGAAGGGAGATAATGAGTAAAGTTCGATTAGACGAATCACGCTGTATTCGAAATGGCCGAAATCGGTGCTTTATCAGTCGATTACAATTGTTCAACGGATTAGGGACGTGACAAATGATTCGTAAAAAGTAGAATGTAATACAACTTGGTCAGGGCTCATCATATCTTGCCAACACGGACTTAATACAGACTTAGTTTTTTTTGGAAATTTTATATGGGATTCGATTAATTAAGCTCCCTATGCAAATACAATCAGTAGAATCAGACAAACCTTAAAAATAACTATTAACAATTGCATTACATTTGCCGATGAAAACACACTGGAATGGAACTCGATCAACATGAACATTTTCAAACTTTGTTTGTTACGAGATCAGATTGTGGTTCAGGTGCACGTTCAGCGAGGTGACACGCCTGACTCGATCAGGGACACACAAGAGCACAAACAGCTTCTTTCTAGGTTCGTTTAAATACCAGCAAAGAACGTCGAACGTAAATATTCGAAAGTATTCCTCGTCGATCTAAGTGGTAGGAAACAGGTTTACATTTATCGCATATTACCGATCGCATAATTTGATCTACTTAAATAAATCTCTGTCAGATTTTCTCGTACGTGCACGTTTTCCTATGTCAAATTCCGTAGCATAAGTGACGAGCTAAGTAGTCAATGGCAAACGCTTAGACGTTAAGCTACTTGTTATTCTTCTATAATTTTCGGCATAATGCTCTGTATTGATAAATCGTCATTCACGACATGCACAAGAACGACGTGTGATACGAATACGAAACGTTACATGCATATCGAGAGTCGACTACGCCAGGTGTCGCTCTGTCGTATTGATGCGGATCGTTCGGGGCTATGTAATTACCGAAGTGTTTACAACTCGTACATGATATGACATCTCGTTTAGTTTAAAAAATAATTGAAATAGGTAATTGCAATCTATGCATACGCGAAACTTATTTGCAGTAAATTATACAGAATAAAGGACAATTGCTGTAAATCTCGCAGACATAATCAGTCACCTTCTACAGTGCTCGAATCACAGCAAATCGGATCTGCGGTCATATGCCGAAATGCTGAGATATGATTTCTACGTTGCTACACCTCAGCACTGATAAGTACGAGAGAATATTTTAACAGTATTACAGCGCAGTAGGACACCTTGATGAAACGGCTTTGGGCGCGTTATTGGAGTAAAATATACATATCTTTGATAGAACTGAGACCGGTCGTCACCCGAAAATAAGTGATGGTTCACTCAGTGAAATATATAGGTGAGTCGTGCCTAATGATGACTTCCTCATCCAGGTCACTTCTGGAGTTATTTAACGATCTAATACATGAGATTGTATCTTTGAAAACAGGTATAGAGCGGTGTACTTAGAAGGTAAATATTTTCTGTTTATCCTGCTTCTAAGATGAGAGAAGAGTTTCGTGCATTCAAGGTTCCTTGTCTCATTGTATAGCATGAAACATAGACCGTGTTCTAGCTAACGTAATCGAAGTCCGATGTTTGGCGCTGGATTTGAAATGCACTAAGTGACCCAAGTAGTATTAAGGGACTTTAGAAGGGCGGTGACTCAGACTGGACAAACCGTCGCCAACTTAAGCACTAACTGTGCTATCGGAAAAATGGACCCAGCACCTGGCGCAGACGCAATGCCCTATTCTGAAGGCAACTATTTTCCCGTGGAGGATGCTGTGAGACACCTTATCGGAGGCACGAAAGTGATCTTAATATGTGGTACATAAGAAAATATCCGCCACAGTAAAATATTTCGTGTACCTGCGTTATCGTCGTTGACTTCGGTTGAACGGTCCCGTTTTTTACGGTCAAAACAACTAGCTACATAGCGTATACTTCAACGACGTAAACCGAGCTTTACTTATTTGCTTGAGCTTTGCCCAACCTTAGCCTTTTCGGCTGGAACCACCGTTCAATAGGTTCGTAGTTTTTTGAAAGATAGAAAGGGGAAGATTCGAGATACAGATTCCGAGAGCCGCAGTTTACTGGATACAGGAAACCGAGCGGTCACAGATAGGATCATTCACCTTTAATGTTACCTATTGGCATAGTGAAAAAATCTCTTAACACCACACATACGGGGACGTTCTTTTCCCATACTACAAAGTCTTGTCAATTCTCGGTAAACAGCATTGATGAAACGATAATGGCAAGAAGCAGATGGACTCGAGAAAGTAAGTGCCGAATAATGCATTCGTTGAATGAGCTGATCCTTGGGATAAAGAACAGCATCCTTGAATGTATTTTACTGAGTAAATCAGTATCGCTAATGCCTTACACTAGGTCTCAGCTTCAGAACTATAGATTCAGCGAAAGAAAGGACGAGTACAGCAAGGCCGAAATCATTTACATTTAGGTTCGAATTTTTCAATGCTTTTGGCTATTTTTTCCTGTGCAAACAGGTCTGCAAAATCGTTTCTGTGAAATTACATCAAAGACCTGTTTTCACTAAAGGATCTGGCCGGCGTAGGTTTTGCTATACTTATCAGACCTATTAATGGAAAATGCTGTATAGTAACGTCGAGTAATGTGTTCTTATCATCTGTTAAGTGTACGTCCAGAACGGCATTACCATATGGGCATGTGCTAACACTATGGAAGTTAGGAAAGACGATGCAAAATACAAAATAAGGTAAAAAATGCGCCTCTTTGACTTCGAAACAACACAGATTGTTATTTTTCTATTGTTAAATGCCACTCGTAATCAGGCTTGCTGTCGTCTCTTGTGACAAACGTTATTTATAGGAGAGTTGGGATAAAGTAGGAACAATTACAAACTCGTAAAAGAAGGCAAGGATCTTGTTGCCATTTTTCCTTGTCCTGAACGTGGTGCTGTCCTTTTATGGTATGTTTTGAGACCTTTGTTTATGAACAACGTATTTGATCGATATCGGCTATATATATACACAATGCCAGGAGCATGTGATGGTGTTTTCGATTGACGAGCACACGTTCCACTCGATCCTCGAACCCCTTACAAAGAGACCGTGCTTGTTTCGTCTACAACAGATAGCGCTTGTATCATCTGTTGTAGACGAAATCTATATCGTTTTCTACATTTGTTCTTATCGGTGCCTTTGCTGTTGTTGTCCCTGAATCATCATGTGAGCATCTATCGTAAGTGAACTCTTTAAATGCAGAGAATTATTTTGCTACATTATCGATTGACTTTTGGATACGGAGAAAGCGTGCACAGTGTGAAATTTTACAATATTGCTGTTAAATTATTTATATTGTATTATTATAATAGTAGTTCGGATCGATGGTGGCTCTTGTATAATTACTGGATACAGCCTATTACAATCTAAATCAGGTCTAAGGGTAGTTGTTTCCATGGAAATGCCAGATCGCATAGCTTTGTCATATGTACTGCCCAACACATCTTATACAGACTGGGTTTATATAAAATGTATAGAATGGGTTATGCCAACAAATGTTGCTCGGTATGATGAGGAAAGCCCATATTCGAACTAACATTTGCAAAGCTAACAAAATACTTCGACGAGCAGACTGTTATAGGCAAGCTACGTTGTCAGTCTGGTAGATCAACTTGATCTACTTTAACCTGTAACTCCATTTGTCTTTCTAGGAATTAACAAGGACGGAAAAAAACTATCTCTGTGAACAGGTATGGGATTATACTTGTATTTTATAAATTATCGGCCGTTTAGCTTCGCCGGTATCGTAATTCGAGCTATATCACGTAAGTAATGAACAAATGTTAGCATTGGGTACGTCACAGAAAGCCCCTTTAGGAATGTCCCTGTATCTCGATGCCAATCGTAACTGCAACTGGCAATCGCATAGCAGCTAAATAACTTAACGAAGGTGACAATGGAGCTTTTCGGCGGCCTCTCGCAATAAAAAAAAACAGGTAATAGCACGGCATTGTTTGTACCCAATACAATAACACTTAAAACGACCGTAGATGAAAAAACAACAAAATATACTTCTACTCTGAGTAGCTGCCGTAAATACAAAAGCAATCGTTTTGAGATAAAAAGAAATTGATTTTGTATTAGGTACGTAATTAAATTGATAAACATGCCTTAGGAAGATATTGATTCAACCTTGTCAGAAAATCTGGTCGGATCTAATACAACATGGTGGATTGTCTCAGTGAATTAGAAATGTCTCTGATACGTGCTTTGCTCTAGTAGATGAAGATCCAAAAAGTGTCAGGATAATGTTTCTTCGGGTCGGAACTATTACCGGGAAGAAACTTGCCTACAATGGTTGCATTAGTGATTCTAATGATTTTTTCGGTTGCTTCGTTCGAGTATTTTAATCTAAGTATTTTTTTGTTCTATACAAGCGTTATATATATACAAGCGTTTGAGTCGGAATATCTTTGGACTCGCTATCGAGATGAGGCTTCCTAGCGAATTGAGCCAATGTCACTCTAAGCTTGAGACACGTTGACTTTTGTTGCACTACCTTTCGCGTTTTGTCCGCGTTTGCTCGTTCTGTACCTTTGATTTTTTTACTTTTTACATGCCGGCTCAATAACACTCTTCGCTAACAATCTTATTTTACACAGCATAGCAGTAAGATAATGAACAGCTATATCGCGTATTACCTAGACTGGGCTATTAGTAGAATTTGGCAGTAAAATTGAAAAAAATACGATTTTTAGCAGCCCTTTAAACCATAATTGCCACTTACCGGCTATTTTAGCAACTGAGCGGCTATGTCTGGTTACATCGAATATATTACTCCTGTTTATATTTCACCGGGACTATTTACATGAGCGATATAAAATTAATTTGTGAAGGTTTTGTTAGCTGTTCGCAGTCTAGATAACAAACTATAAATTGCCTAAATGAAATTCGAAAACACAGCAAATATAGTAAACATTCAAGTATAAAATAGTCTTGACTACTATCTGGTGAACAAATCATTGTGAATATAAGCCTAAAACCGACATTTAAGCACAAAATTTCAAGATGCGACTTCTGTGCACCCTACAGATAACCAGGATGAAGATGGCGCCCACGTCTGGTAAAATGGTTAGGCATTTTTGATTGGATATGTTAACAAACAGGACGACACTTCGCTGATTTCCAGGACCGATGAAGGAAGCTTTTTTTCCGTGCTCATTGATACTAGCTTCAACCGTTCACTTTCGTTAAAACGGACACTGGTTTCGACGTGAGTCTTTCTTAGAAAGGGTTCAATCACAGTGTATGATAATGTCCTGATCGAAATTCTGTTCGACATCTGTTTGGGCAGTCGTTATCAAGCTGCACTTTAACAAAGCGTTCCCAAATAATAAGCTTCTTTCTGGCCAGCTAGAGACACCGGTCGGTTTTCCGCTATAATATTCAAGTCAATACATACAAATGATACACTGAATGAAGAAATACATATATTTAAAACTAATTAAAAGAAGACAAAACACTTGGTTAGGAACAGCTATTATATCATACGACAATGTACATTAAGTGTCAAGTTTACTGAAATATTTGAATTTTTACCATCATTATGTTATTATTAAGAAACAATTAAGCGCAGTTTATAAGGTGACAGTAATAATAATAGCCAGGTGGACTTTTAAAGAGGATTAGCGTAAAACAATACAAATGCTGTTGAGAAAGAACCACGTATAAACCGGTACTGAATAAACGTCGAGCGGCAAACATCGAAGATGGTTAGACAGTACGAAGAAACAGAAAATTTGGCCAGATATGACAATAACGGAAAGCCGACAAGGAGTGCAGCGCGCATTTGTAGCAACGACAGAAAAAGCTGACTGTTGGCATTCTGGCACCGGTACCTGTGGGGGTGTTACACACAAGCGATTGCTGTCGCTCTAAAACTGCCATACAAGTATACCTTTTCTAGCGCGACATTCAACCACAAACAATGGAATATATGTTACTAGAATGTGACATAGTTTACCTTTGTGAGGTAACATGTTTACGACGGTTAGGATTATCAGAGATCTTCCACATCGCGATTCGAACTTCCAAGAGATCAAATTAGCAGCTTACCAGGTGTTTACCTCGTATCGGTAAATAGAAAAGCGCGCGAAAACACTTGCTTCTCCAAAATACATTGGGCTTTATTGACTAGTACGCTCTTGGGCAAACGATGCGATATTTTACTTACACTTTATTTATCTAGATAGCAATTTTCTAAGAGTCTATGTACCCATAACACAGCAAACTGACCTCTAAAGATGACCTCCTTATGGAAGCCTGGAAGATATGTATTATCTTAGGTGCATGAGCTCGTGCTTCACATAGGACATACGGCAGCAGTAGGACGACTTAAAATACGTGTCCAATATTTCGGGTAGCTTGCTTCCGCACTGTATCGGTTGTGCGCGAGGACTCATAATACGTGTATAACAAATCTTTGTTGTGTACTAGAAGCTATCATTATGCCTTTTGCGGGGCATGAGATGGGAGTCAGCCTTCGAGCTTCATGCAAGCCACCATCATTTTTGTAAACCCGGTACTATGGTCGTTATATGATTTACTGCATTATTATTATTATTATATACTGCATAATCAGTACTGTTTTTTGCAAGGAACAGTACTGATTGCATATGCCTTAGCCGCGCTCGAACTAGCGGTTGTCTATTTTTACAGGCCTGAGAGTAACACTCAGCCATCGTTATCAGCCATGCGTCCATGTAGCATTCGAATGTGCGACGTGCGGCTGCGCATGTCCTAACTCGGTATGCTATCCATGCGACCCATCGACTTGTCAATGGCCCCGAATAGTTGTTTTCTTCTTTACGTGCTCCGAACGTCAAAGTATTTGTGAGTCAAATAATCGTAATGGTGACCGCTACGACGACCCCCCCGGGGAGATGGCAGCTTACATCAAGGGCGTTACAGTTACGTCACGGATCGATCGCAGAATACCTTACAGGACCGAACCCCAGTGGAACGCTCGAGGTGGGTCTATAGGGCTCTAAAACCTTAGCGCTTCTCGCACCTACAGTTTAAGGGTGTCGATACATTTATGCTGGCCGAAACATGGACCACTAGCTCACCTGATCTTCACGATTTTTCGGTCGTGAATTGCTTAATTCGAAAGAGTAGTCACACAACTGGAGTCGCTTTTGTGTTCTAAAACAACAAATGATCGCTCCATATTTTTGGAGTGTGACTGCTCGTCGTATCTACAAACGACTGCTTTTTGTTTTTCCATTGTAAACAATATTTTATCAATCAGCGTATTACACAATCCTGATTTAGTCAACTACGAGCACAAACCACTTCGGGGTGGTACTGTGTCTAATTAAAATTGTCCGGTGAAAGTCATATTATTGTTTATTGCAGAGTCTGTGCTACAATAAATATATATAACACAAAATATTAAGGTGTCCAGCTGAATGACATAATCTAAACTCGGTATCGATGTTTAAGGGGTACGCCAGCAGCTTGGTTGTTGACGTGTTTGCGACATGCATTAACCTGAAATAAAGCTCAAGTCCTGGAAAAAATAACTTTTTCATGGGCACACATCCCTATTAGGGGTACGGAGAGCAAACATACGAAGTCATACCAATACGTTGTGACACCAACATAAACAACTATGTATAGCACCTATTCAGAAAATTCGGAAAAATTAACGGTTATATGTCGCAGTACTATATGTTATAGCTATCACCTAGCAGTTTGTGCCGTTGAAAGTTCTCACCTATCATTTTTTTTTATAGAGTTCGTTTGATGCCAAACCCGAACGCCTTCGTGCGCTTCGAACTACCGAAAAGAACTGCAACAACTTTTCACCAACACAAGGGATTTTCACACACCATTGTAGTAAGGGCCAAAGTGCATCGCTATTTATCTTCAGAGCTGCGCAAGCATTACCGATATAGCTTGTTTTTTTACGTTTAGCTGTGGTTTCTAAGAAAACTTCGTCTCCAAATTAAGCGTTGAATATCAAGAGAGAAAGAAAACCCCGTTTGCTGCTGCGAGAAGCAGTCGATATTTTCGACTGTTGTTATAATAAGTATAGCAGAACGCACTCCTGATATATATGTCTATACATATATTTTTGTCGGGCATTGGAAACGGTTTGACCAGACCGTACGCACTTGTCAAATGTGGATCGCAAATTAGGAATATGTCGACAAATACAGGTAAAAAAAATTATGTTTATAATGATTTGTACGGCCACGGCGTTGCAATGAAGGAATATGAAACACGTATCTCCAAAAATACGTCTTCCCAATTTTTCTCGCGTGATTGCTAACAGGTCCTATTGGGGTTGCCTAAAAGGAGCTTATTCCGGTTCTAGTTTACTGTACTGCTTCATCCGCTTTTTAGTAGCTTCATAGATGTGATGACATAGCCATCTTTCTATGTTTCTCAGAGCTTACTTGGTAGATTTCGCAGCTTTGAACCGGTTTGGTCTTCTGCCTGCCGTAGGTGGGCTTAAGTATTCGCAGAAAACGCTCTATGATATTATGCTATAAGTTTTAAAGTTGTCCTCTCCTTATCAATCATTTCTCTTTTAGCAGGATTAGTAATTTCTACTTACACGATTCTATTTAATAAAAATGCAATTGCGAAATACTTTTATATTATACAGAAGAACTTGTGCCGCCTTCTGCCAGCATCATTAGTTCTGTGGTAGCCGATTTTCGTCTGCTTGCTGTTTACGTTATTCGCGAAAAATCAGGATGTAGTCAGGTCCACAAAATCACAGGCTAAATAAGAAGGTCAGAAATCCATTATTTGACATGAAACGTACTAAAGTGAGATGTCGAACTGTACGATAAAAATAAATAGTAAATCTGTAGGCACACGGCTGTTTCTAGGGGAATAATCTATAATCACAAATGCTATAAAAACAATTTAGGTTGTCCCTATATTAGCGCACCATTGGCCACTGATTCAGTATCGTTGAAAGCTGCTGGATTATGACATACGCTCATATACAATGCATAACAATAGGCACCGGGCAGAATTGCTGTTTCTTTCAAATACAGAAAGAAGTATTTTTCTTAACTGTTTTGTCTGCGTGACAACTGCACAATTAACTTCACTAAAAGAGTAAATTGCAAACACAATCATATGTTTTTATCGATAGCCTAATGACTCACGTAGCTCCTAAAATTAACGGATTAAACGAAATTTTGTTATTAATTTCAGACTGAAATAAATATTTTGTCGATTTAAAAAAATACCGTAACAACTTACGGTCTGTTCCAAAAGATCAGCATCTGCAAGAAAAGTCAGTAATTTGCTTTCCATGATTTTGTTTTATTGCATGTTTGAAATCCGCTATCGTATATTTTATATAGAAGCAGAAAATTATCGCTTTAGCGTGCAACGTCAATGGAAGTCGAACTGAAACAGTACTTCAATACGCCGATTAGGCGCGTTCGCCACCTTTCAGCTGAATGAAATTTTGTCACGATCATTACCTGGTCATCGTACGGTACGTAACTTTGTCGTGCTAATTACGGATACGACAATTTAGTTTTATTTACAACGAGCCATTCTGAATGCATAATGAGAGTTGAGTCAGACTTCGAACGAATTAAGCCACCAAACCAATGCCCAACAGGCGAATGTTTCAAGCCAAACACAGAAAGGAAACGTGCCCTGTTATAATGGCTTAATATCGGTACATAGTCTTTTTTTTTGTTGTAACACAAGTACATGTAACTTATTCCAGTCAGCTAAACGGATGTTCTGAGATTTATGTTCAGGATGACCATTACGAATTGTTTCAGGGTGAGCTTTAATCGATCAACGGGACTCCATGTGAAGCAAAGCAAATGCATAAGAAACTATTTGTCATAGTTGCTGAGAGAAACGTTGACGAAACGAACTTGAGAACTAGAAGGAAGAAGAAAAACTTAGGATGATGGTTTTTCCTTCAAAATCTTCGAGACAGTCTGGACAATTCAGGATGAAACGCATTTAGCCGCCATATTTTTTTTTGAGTGTTCAACAAAAAGTACCAAAGCATGAAGGCCAAGCCTCATCCTGATGGACAAATTGTTTCTTTCTAAATATAGTGTCCTAACATGCCAACACATTTCTATTCGGATTTATGGTATATACTGTTGTCTGGAGGATCAGGAGCGAATCCACCCGAAAATGCATCAGTGATCTATTCTATTGATTAGAAATTAAGTGTAATCTCGGCTAAGAATTATGGCCTTAACTGCCTTGCGAAGGCAAAATCAAAAATGTGTGCCTCTGGTAGCAAGGAAAACGAAGAGGTACTTATTTTTCTCTGTGAGAGCAATGAAAACGGGAAAATAAATCTTACAGCTTAACATTACAAAACTCGGACAATTATAACGGTATTTCATAATAAGTGAGTGAGCAAGCGTATGTTTAATAGAGAATGTTCTTTTGAAATTTGGCGTTAAAGATTAGGTCTGGGCCGTTGGTACGTACCACATGATTCGGCATTAAACGAATAGGTGTTTAATGGAGTTTCTATCGCTCGGTAAAGTCTAGGCCGCCTTGTGCAATGTAAGTCCGCCAGCGTCAGGTGCCGATTGGTTCTGATCTAGTTAGGAAAAAGGAAATTAACGAACGGCCTATACACGTAAATATTAATACGCTTATGCTCTGCACGCATACATCTGTATGGCACGAAAAGCAACAATACTGCCTTGTTTGTGTCCTAAAGGAATGAATTAAGGTATCGTGTATATGGAATTTGGCTTAGCTCACCAACCGTTTCGAGCGGTATCCTCAATATTATACCCTATAACGCTTTGCTACGATTATTGAATTTCCGCTCCGTGACAACGAGGGAGCATCACATCTGGTTCCGAACCTGGACTACCGTTCGTGTTACTGTTCTCAAGGTACCGACCGTACCAACACAAATCGGTACACGAATACATCGTATTAGATCTTTTACATAGTTTAGCTTGGCTGGACAAAATGCTTGTGTTTTGGAACAGATACCTGTACCTGAGACACAGACCGAAGGACTGCATTCTGAAATTAATTAAATACTTAATTGTTCGAGTTCATATGCTACTGTTACTTCTCCAATTGAAGCCGACTTTTATACATGCTGTAACTACAATCGAATAATTATGATGGCTTAGGAATCGTTCGTTCTGGGGAAGATTTTATGCTCACTACATCTAGGATAACGGTCACGACGCACTTAAGCGCATTCAGTAAAAAGAACGTGAGAGGAGGCCCTAGCGATAGCATGCTTTATAAGCGCAACTGTCCATGCGGCACTTTTATAGAAGCCGCTTGTTTTTGGCTTCCTTCGGGGAAAAATTTTCTGAAAATACTGCCGTTTTAGAGTGACTAATTTCCAACAAGGAGATCATGATGCATAGAAGAAATCATGTCATAGAATTAATCAAGTGCATATTGTTTTTTCTAAAATTTCAAGACTGGTTTTTAGAAGTGTCCTGAAATTTAGGATGCTATTGTATTTGTACCATGAGCAAACGTATAAACAGGGGCTTGGTGTTAAGCGACATTTGCATTCGTAATTAATCGGTTTCATCTCGCAAAGGAGCAGTTAAGTTCGCAAGGAATAGATTTTTTCAGGTTACGGTAAAGCCTTACCATACGGCTTCCTCCCCACTGGAGCTGCAGCGGGAAAATGCTAAGTGATTATATTAGTCTAAAATTGCCACCTTTGTTGGTTATAATAATGACGCCAATGTATATATTTATTATTGGAATACTGACGCAATAATTATCGAATAAATGAGAATAATATGCGAAAACAGGACAGCATTATTTCGAGAAAGGCATCTGTAATACAAAGTCTCCCTGGTAAGGCCTGGCTGGCCTGAACAGTTTCTACCAACAACAAGGAATAGAATATGTAAGACGCATAAGCGTTGTGAGTATTACGAGTTATCGCCTCATACTCACTTCCACGCTATCTCAAACGCGATACGGAAATGACAAAGAGCCTGCATAGACCGGGACTGGGCTTGCTTCTAAAGTTGAAACACCAATCTGTTATTAGTTTACCACACCATATTATTACATTTGTATCTAGGTGTAATTACAATCTGCCTTTGAATACTCGGCAGGGGGCAAGGATGAGGAACAGATAGCTAGTCAGCGAGGTACAGTGTTGCCTCAAACATCCTTGAAAGATATTTTTCCGGTTCAAGGTCATATATAATGGGCTTACAGTTAATGATAATTGATGAAAAACGATTCCTATCCTGACTTTCTTCATATATAGTTTAGGAGAAACACAGGCCACAGTTGGGTATGGGCTAATATATATATATATATATGTAATCCGGCAGATTAAAAACTAGTAACAAATAGGCTTCCAATTAAGAACAGCGCGGCTATCATGCTTCAACCATATGTTTATTTGTTTCCTCCTCGTAAACAACGGTATTTTCCAGCTGTAGACTTATGTCCTCTTCTAACCTAGGCCTGGTTTCTTTGTATTATATTTTTAGGCGAAAAGCTAATATACTCTTCTGTGGGAAAAGGTGGGTGTCCCAAAAAAGCATTCAATAGAACATCGTACACCTTTAAATTTATTTTATAGTTACTTCGATTGAACGTAAATCGGAGTCGTACAACATCAGCCGACCAGAGAAGCCCGAACAGCCTTAGCCGATATCCTAAAGTTAGGCCAGTGCAATACTGACAGCTTGTGCGTGCATCTTTATATAGGCTCTGTAATTGCCATCCAACATGTATGCAACTATTGCTACTTAAAAGGTCGGTAGCAGAAGTCGCCGTTGTTGATGGCACCGTCAGATGAAATCTACAGGACGCCATCCATATTCATTGTCAGTTTTTGCAATGACAGCCCACTGTCAATGAGTCAGCGAGTTTATAAAGCTACTGCAAGTTGACCCATTAAAGTCATGCAACGTAGTTATAACCGATTATAGTTCGTACAATGTTCAGAATGTATAGATAGTTTGGAACATCTGTGAACTCACTGTGATTGTTATCATTGTAATTAATAGTGCGACGCCGCCCTGTCTCACACACATAGAACGCCTGCTATATAGTCCATCGCTCTCTGCTGTCTTGCCATCAGAGTACAAATCGAATCCATTGGACATATGGAATAATAAAGGATCGTTTGATCTGGTCTTACGTATATCAATATTCTTCGCATTACCCTGTTATATTGAGTACCAGATCATCGTAAGTTATGTTTATCATATTATAATAACTTTCCTACTAAATACTAAAAGCTAGTCATAATATAATATGCTCATAGTTATACTTTGCAAGTTATATTTTGCAAGTCGAACAAGTGCCACTTTCTACACCTAGCCCATTTCGGTTTCGATTACTGAAAAATAAACAGCTGTCTTCCCAGTTCACCGATAACTGCCACGGGCTTCTGACTAAAAAAAAATCTGTCACCTTATAATAACCCAGAGACGATGAGAGAGCTATCTGATCGCTCGCAAAAGGACAAAAACAATACTATAATGTTACCGGTGATAACTATTACCCATTCAATGTTGCAGTAGAAGCGTAAACAATGTTTGGTAGCTCTAAGTTTTCGCAGAATCCCGCTTTTTACTGATGTCGTTCCCACTCACAGTGTTACGCGCTTTGATAAATTCGAAGGGATTCAACATAAAAATTAAAGTTCTAATGAAGTTTTCACATCGCAGATTGCTACGAGGACAATGGTATCATGTACAAAATCTTCCTATGGATCTTATTGCTGAGACGCGATAGCTTCAAATACAAAGGACAAATGTCGCAATACGCGTAGCCTAATTGCAAGCGAACATTGCACCTCAGATGTATGATTTAAAAACCTAGCGATAAAGGTACAGCTCAGACGGTTCTGTTAATACATGAGTTAAATTCCGTCAAATATCCAGAACGACCGATTTTATTTGTCACTTAATAAATGGGTCCGAATATCACTTCGTACATATCTTTTAATGATTTCGCCAGTGTGATTAGAATGGAGAATATCTTTTTACGAAGCTGGTTTAAAAATTCGATAACTAATATTTGTACATGCTTCAATAATAACCGTATAGTAAATATTTTAAAGATCTATAAGATCATAGTTTGAAGTTCCGGTGCGACCCGGTGCGTTGTCCAAGTTGGCTCGTAGCCTAAAGCTATTCTGTGGTTCTATTATCTGTGGAGCATGGGAGCTTTCCAAAGTAGAGTGCAAGGATTATTTTATCAGGGAAGATGCAAAGGAACGTAAATACGGACGAAAACGGCGCATTCAAATTGAATAAGCTAAGTTTCAAGTCGAAGGAGACTGGGAAACCCATTATAACGTTATGCACTGTGGAAATTCAGCGGCCATTATTCAGTTCATCTGCTATACGAAGAAGGTAGTGCGGTCGTTGAGACGTTTCAGCCCGTCGCTTAATTGCTCTTCGTATGGATCTCATCACCAGAAAGACGACGACGTTATTGTTGTTGCTGTAGGACAAAGTACTGCAAGGACAGGGAAACAAATATATGCATACTTGGCAATGATGGTCCTAACGTCAAGTGAACAGTCTTGAGTGACTAAATGTGCTACATGCGGCCCCCATTTAGCCCACAAACCTAATCTTGAAGAAGGGCAACAGAACAAGTGGTGCATCGCTGCTAGACACGTTGTGGCTAGTCTAGGAGACGTTTATCGGGGCTGTATTTCTTAAAATGCACATTTCGGGTTTTAGGTTGAAATCTAAAACTAATAAAAAATAATATTATTAGGCTGTCATGGGCAAACGCGACGGATTTTGGAATAGAATAACCTTTAAACAAAGCGCCGCTAATAGACAGGTTGGCTGGCAAATACTCCAGTCTCATTATTGAAACTCATAGATGGGTACTGGTTTAACCCAGAAGAAATGAACTCAGAAGCATCACTTTTCTTAGGTTTGAAAATTAACGCTTAGTGGTCAGTTCTTTGTCTTTCGAAGGCTATAGCGATGCAGAAACCTTATCGAAGATTGGTGGAAAACATTAGACGAAAGTCCTTAAGCGTAAATAATGCAGATATTTCACGGTGGCAGACTGGAATGTTGAAAACCAGCGAAGAGATGCGCAGGTATCGGGGGTAATGTCAACCAAAACTGGCACAAGATCATAACACAAATAGTGAAAAAGCTAAATAAATATTGGTTCCTTGTAAATTGACTTCAGGGAAATACGTGTAGTGTGCTCCACGTGCAATTTGTGAGACTTCAGTAAAGAACCCACCTGGAGCACACGGTCGTCATAAA